GACTCAGGCTCGGAGAACTACTTGTGGACGCAGTCTATCGCAGCCCCCTGAGTCGTTGTTTGGATTGGCTGCCCTATCTTCGAACCCACATGAGTTGTCCACACTTTCTACTTATGGGCGATTTTAACTGCCCTCGAATAAGATGGCCTGATGTGCATTTGATGCCTGGACATGGTGAGGTTGAAACAAAGTTCGTGGATGTGGTACATGAAACTGGTGCACCGCAACACATGCCAGTCAACATGCATAACACCACGCTCAACCCCGTTCTGTCTCGACCGGATGTTAACAAGCTACGAACAACGAGCGCGTGACGTTCGGATCCTGGAGCCCTTGGCTACAAGCGACCACTCAGTGCGCATGGCTGATATGCAATTACCTTTGCCGTATTTACGTCCGCTGGAACCAGGTTACAACTACTGGAAAACGGACTTCGATGGTCTAGCTCGAGCCGCGAGCCAACTGGATTGGTCTCTGTCACAAGCTGCAACTGGAGAAAACTGTTGAACATTTATAAAAGAGAGCTCGACATCATTGTGTCCCCAATTAGTGCCCTTGAAATGTCGGAAGGTTGGACTGATTAATCCTCATTGGTTTGACAAGGAGTATGGAAATCTGGCTCGGAGGCGGCGCAAACTGTGGGACAGATTTCGCCACTCCGGTTGTGCGAATGACTACGAAGGGTATAAAATTCAGCGGAACCGCTGCAGAAGTGCAAAAAGAATAAGCGCCGACATTTCAAAGACCAGCTCGCAATCACTGCGAAGACCGCCCCAAAGAGAATCTTTGCTTACGTGAAGCAACGCCTGAAGCCGGTAGGTGATGTGCCAGTGCTGGATGGCCTGGACGGACAGCTCCTAACCTCCAGCACTGAGCGTGCGTCTGCGTTAGCCGCGCACTGCGCTTCTGTGTTTGCAAATGATCAGGCGTCTGTTCCGAGTTCGACGTGAACCGCTTTTACCGAACTCGATAGTCTGGATTGCGGCGTTGAAGACGTAGGTCAACTACTTGTCAACGTTGACGGCACCGAACCTGCCGGACCTGATGGGTTTCACCCACTGATTCTCAATTCGCTTATGGCCATCATCTCTCCTGTCTCGACTGACGTTTTCAACAGGTCGCTGTCCGAAGGTTCGTTGCCGGTTGACTGGAAATGTCCGGTGGTGAAGCCTATTCCGAAAGGCGGCGACTCTAGTAAAGTAGACAACTACACACCAATTTGTTTGACACCAATTTTGGCAAAGGTTGCTGGGAAAATCGTAAAAAACGGGATTATTGCAGTTGTTACAGTCAAAAGAGGTTCTGACGTCCGCACAGCACGGTTTTGTGCAAGGCCGCTCATGCATTACAAACTTGCTTGTGACGCGGCATGAGTGGTTGAAGGCAATAAGCAATGGCAAAGTCTGTCGACGTGATATTCATCGATTTCAGTAAAGCGTTAGACAAGGTCAGCCATGAGGTGGCTCACTACACCGGTGGAACCGCGACTTTCGTGTTGGACGAAAGTGGAGTGTACAGGTCGACGACCATCTAACTGACAGGTATCGCTCCACAAATGGCGTGCTTCAAGGCAATGCTGGGGCCCTCTCCGTTCCTGATCCACATCAACTATCTACCTCAGCTTCTCCGATCACCGTGTGCCTTGTTTGCGGACGACATGAAAATTTGGAGAGAAATTGACGCTCCCGACGACTGTGGCCTACTTCGGCAAGACCTAAACCGCCTATCCACATGGTCTGCAGAAGTTCATCTCCACGTCAACCCAGTCAAGTCTGTAGTTATGAGCCTGGGGAAGGGTGCTGATGGCCGAACCTACATCCTTGACGGCCAACCACTATATCCCACACTCTCCGTGAAGGACCTAGGTGTACTCTCATGCTACGATTTGAAATCCGTGGACAACACGAACAGGCTATATCGTAACGAACTGTGCATGCTTTGGGTACTCAAACTTAGCTTCGGCACATGGTCTGAAGAAGTTGCCACTCGCCTCTTTCATCATTAGACCAATGCTAGAGTACGGCTCACCCGCCTTCTTTCCGATTACTTGAGGCGAGGCACAAAAGATCGAACGGGTACACCACGTTGCTACCAGGCTTATCCCGAGTTTACGTGGCTTAAGGTATGTAGACCGGTGCGAGAAAGTAAGACTCTACACCTTGTCCTACCGTCGGATGCGAGTCGACCTCATTATGACCTACCGTATTCTACATCTCGGTGACTTCCCCATGCTGAGGCCAATGCTGCACTTACGAGGGCCACGCAGCACACGCGGACACAGATACAAACTTGTCGTGCCCGAGGTGAAACGAGGTCCCCACCCACTGTGCTTCGAACGGAGAGTGGTAAACATTTGGAACAGTTTGCCTGAACATGAGATGGAGGCAACATCTGTGCACCAGTTCACAACCGTGTTAGATTTATATTTGACCACCATTTGATTCAGAGAACAAGTGCACACTTACGGTGACATGTCACATTTGTGAGTCCTGCAATACCGTGAGTCAGATAATTTAAATGTTACATGAGAACGATAACGATATTCATGGCTGAGAACTTTTATAACGTTTTTCACCATATTGCGAAAGAGTTGTACATAATTTATTTCTACCTGCTCTATAATACAGTATTCAGTATTCGGATTATCCACCTACCTAGCTAGGGACAGGTGGTTAGCAGATTCGCTGTTATCATGTCGAACTGTGAACCGCAAGTCAGGCGACGAACAAGGAGCGTCGAAGTTTAGACGCGGTGTTGAGACCAACGGAGTCAGCGTAATGTGTTGGCGCACCAAAGCATGGTCGAAGCCCGAGCACATATTCCAAACCAACTGCATTGTCACATCGGTAGTCGTTAGTACCAAGGGCAAGTTGGGTCGGGATCATTGAATTCGTTTGACTGTCCGGTCGGCAAGCATTGACTCCGAAACTGACTTGAAGGATTAGTCGAGGTCCCAGAAGCAAGCCAATTAAGTATTCATGCGTCCTAATGATGGTATTGGCATTCCGCAATCTTCCGAACGAATAAGAAATGAAGATTGCCGAAAGAACTCATGTTTGATGACTTTGAGTCAGATTCAGTTGGGACATGTGCCTAAATGCCTATTAACGCCATGGAGGTCCGGGGTGGGACTGAACATATGCGGCTACCCACGAGAAGTATCAAAGCACCGTTTGATAATCTCCACTGAGAACGGAGTAGATACCGTAAACACTCAGAACCACCGACTCGTTGTCGCAAAAAGGAAAGGCATCAGTAGTATGTCGGGAACCCGCAAGTGCTTGGCGCCACACTGCCCCCAGAGGTTGCGCAGGTACCAAGATAGTGCGAATTAATTCATATGTCATCATATAAGAAACTGATGATCCGGAGATTACCAGCCGAACGTCTGAGTCACTATGCTACAGGTCGAACACAGCATGTACAGACTGCAAGATGGTGAAGAGAGAAAGACGGCGCCACGTGCTGAGCTACAGTGAGAACGCCGCAGCAATCAACGTGAAAAGGAACTAAGCAAATGAAGAATCGGTCTGTTGTTCTTTATCCAGTGAACAAGAGGACTGAAGGGGAAAACAAAATTGGTAATAGTGCCATTCACGTGTTTTGTGAACAGATGACCCTTTCTGGCCGCCGCCTATTCCGACAAAACAGCGTTGTTTGAGGTTCGCTATCTCTAATCATTGATTCATTTAGTCTGGCAGATAAAGCAAGGCTGAATGTGTCCAGCTCGGAAGCGCGATTGTAAAGTCCTAATGTTATCTGCTTGAAGCTGGTCAAATGCAACCGATCGCAGGCGAAATCTAGTGCGTCGACATTTTTTGTTGATGGGCTACCAGGCCTGGGGCGGCGGATAGCAAGCGGGCGAGCAAGAGTGGTCCACCCACAATGCGTGGAACTTGCGTGCCATGCCAACGGAAACGAATTTGCAGTCTTGACATTGTTCCTTCCCATGATTGAGGGAGGAAATTTATGGGCTTTTCACCAAACTGCGATGAAACCGAGTTCATCTGGCAAGAGTGCCTCTAATAGATCAATGAGGTACGAAAATACTACATCAATCTAACCATCAAGACTTCGCGCAACGGGGAGTCGGTGGTTATGAATTGATCAAAATACAAGGTAAAACGGAGTACATGTTATTCAAATGTGTATAAGGACGCGCGATTGATGAGCTTCCGACAAAGCAACCAAGATGAATTTGGAATTTATGTTGTAATCGCAACTCCGTTTATCAACTTAGATTCATGAGGATGGTTAAGTTGCGACGACTCATGGCTCAAAAGCGATAATAATATCACTAGTAATCAAATAGAGGAAGAAACAAATAAAATACTAGATGGGACGGCAATCAATGAGCGGATAGAACAACGCTAAACTGACTCCGTAATTGCACCATACCCGGATGAGGAAACGCGACAGATCAACAAACCTCGCTAATAAACAGGGTGAACAAATATGGTGCAGAAAATGCAAGACGCGCTGCTAGCCGAAACGAGCCAATGAAAGCAAAAATCTAGCATCAAAGGCAAGAAAAAATACCCAAAAATCTCATTTGCAAATCTAACCATCAACCTAACACGCAAAAGATTTCGAGGGAAAGCTCATAAACGATGAACACAAGAGTACGCGTGACAGAAAGCCTCAATCAAACGACTGAGCTTTTCTGCGCTACAGCAGTAGAAGTAGATACGGAGGAGTAATAGCGTGCAGCACTGTGCCCACGGGATTGTAAGTCAGGAATGATCACCCGGGCCAAAAAGCACCAGTTGTAGACCAGACCGTCCAGTGCAAGGATGCACTGATTTAACCGAGCCTGCCCAGTGATTAATCTGTGAGGTTAAACGCTTTCGGGATTTATCGACAGCTCACTGGTGAAAAGTGCAAAACAAAATGTCAACACTAGTCAAAATGGACTTTTGACTGAAAGTATGGACACGTGGAGCGTAAAAGTCGCTTGCGCGTATCGAAAATTTACAGACATAATACAAAGAGGGACGAACCATTTGCCAAATCTGCAGAATGTTGTCTTCCGACACAGAGCATATCGTCCATGGGTCATTGATGTTCCAAGAGAAATCCGATATTTTAGCAGTATGCCCCGCATGGATGAAGAGGAGTTCTGGTGGGCCATCTTCAGCGTCTTCCGCAGTTTGGTCAACTCCAATCTTGCTCAAATCCCACACATGTAATCTTCGGTCAGTTCCAGAACTGGCTAGTATGGTTTCATTGTGCGGAGACCACTGAACCTAGAGAGAGGAAATAGACTTTGTCGCAGTAAACAAATTTGATGAGGAGCGAGGTAAAGATACCGGGATAAGTACCGTCCAACCTGCCATGGCGACTGTCCAAGAAAACCCGCCAAAAACATTCCAAACGCTTTCGCCTATGAAAAATGTCCCTATGCATGAGCCTAGACAAAACGGCCACCTTTTCTCGGTTCTTTGAGTGATCGCCTTAAACAGGTTTGACTGTAATTTTATATCAGAGGAAAATATTCATGAATAAAGAAGTAGGATCAAGCAATATATTACCATAATAAAAATATACTTGAGCATGCGTATGCAGGCGTGTCTCGCATTGTCCAAAAGTAAACAATTTATCCGTAAAGTAAAGCAAGAATACGAGGCCACGGGTGAACAATTGTTTTCGATGATTCTCTTCAGACCATTACAAGCATATTTAAGGGTAAAATAATGAACTGAAATCGTCTCATTGGCTCGAATTACATAGTTAATGAACGGTTCAGTGAGGGAGGCTAAAAGTTGATCTTTGACCTGACAGGTCGATTGCATGGTATCGAGCTTGTCCAAACGCGTGAAGGAGCACTGCCCGCGCTGGTTGCGTCATGGAGGAACTGGGACCATTAGAAGCGCCGTTTTGGCCCATACTGTAGACACGGAGCACCAAGTTGATCTAAAGCGTCCCTTCAGGATAATTTACAGGGTCCCCCAGCATCAATCAAGAGGTTTGAGCCTTCGTGCGCTCGCGAAAGCTGAATCGATTTGCATCCGGTTGTTTCAACCTTCATTATGCTCGCAAAAAAGTTGCTCCATGCCTTACAGCTTCTCTGGCCAGCTAGAACGAACCATGCTGAGATCGACTGCCACAGATCAAGCGCGGTACCATGCAATCGACCTGTCAGGTCAAAGGTCAACTTTTAGCCTCCCTCACTGAAGCGTTAATTAACTGTGTACTCTGAGCCAATGAGTCGATTTCAGTTCATTATTTTGCCCTTAAATATGATTGTAATGGTCTGAAGAGAATTATCGAAAACAATTGTTCACCTATGGTCTCGTGTTGTTTTGACTCTAAATGGGAATTTTAAAGTTGCAAGCAAGAATAGCCGGGAACCACAAAGAAAAGTGGTTGCCACACGATAACCCAAAAAACTGGTGCGCGCAGTAGAAAAAACAAAACCGTAGTCATTGGGGGTTCATTTGAAGCAATACGACGCGCAATCCCAGTGTGGGCCGCCATTAACGTCCGTTGTGGTGGTCAGGGGCCGAATACAGCAGAGTTACCGGATGCGGCGACAAGGCTTGCTACATGTCTATGTCTATGTGAACATGGGATAAAAGCACAAGCACTCGGTGTCCAGTGTGGACAGCAAGTATAAGCGAGCCAGGAAAGTTGGAAAAATGGTTTGACAAAAAACCACAGAAAACTGCCGACTCACTCGATAGTGTCAAAACAGGGGCGCAATGATCACGAACTTTCTGAGGGACCATAGATTAACGGGTTTGTATGCCCCAATAAGGACGACGAGTGGGATAATCAGTTAACATCATGCGCACCAAATAAAAGATAACAACATGATGTATCAATCAAAAAGCGATAAGGTAGAAAAGACGAGCACAGAGAACGCAGTGTGGTGCGAATACTGTGACAATCATGTGAGGAGAGAAAAGTAGGTGAGAGTACCACTGAGAACATCAAGGTAGGGAATGAAGTGGTGTAACGCACCTGAAATATCTCATCACGGTGAGACTCGAAGGAGTGCAGCTTCAGTCTCAGGTTACGCAGATCCCACAGAGCAACTGTCTGCAAAAGATATCGGGAAGCAAAAATACAGTGAAAGGGTGTCGAAAACGCCGAAGTGTGTCAGTTCAATCATGAACACGATTGACCATGAGGTGAAAGTAAATTCACACAAGAAAAGCAAAAGCTCACTGGCTTTGTGATGGCAGTTCGTGAGGATACCAGTAGCCACAATCGAGTAACACATGACACAAAACGCTCCAATGATTGTCCGTGGAATGATGG